ATATTCTGGAATATAGGGCTGTGTGGAAGGGCCTCCAGATGATATTCTCTGAACGGGAAGATATGGCAGTGTAGACTCAGATAATCCAGTTCAAAGCAGATAATGTGGATTATATGACAGTGTAGAAGGAGCCTGTATGAGGATTCAAACTCTGGTTTCTTGGAGTCCCGATTCAACAAACTACCCTAGCTCTGGAGGTTACCACTCCAGACCATAGGGAATAAAAGAACATAACTGATTACTTATCCATACATCCATATCCCATTTTGACAGGCTTGGAAGTGCTTTTTTCTTCATTTGGAAAATTTCCACTTTGAAGTTTCAAGTCATACAATCCCAATATAAGTTATATAGGCCACCAAGCCCTTGAAAATGCACCAGGAGTCAGGATGTGGAAAACTGAACCATTTCAGAGTTCACTGCAGGTGAACGCTCGGTACCCTTCTACACTGCCATATTATCCAGATTATCAAATCAGATAATCCACATTCTCTGTTTTGATCTGGATTATATGAGTTTACACTGCCGTGTAATCTGGTTCAAAGCAGAAAATCTGGATTTTATATGTCAGTGTAAAGGGGGCCAAAGTGAACTTGAACACAATTAACAACCAATTCTTGTAAATGTTATGATTAGCAAGTGGTCCCCATACTATTGGGGCACTGAGGCCCCTTCTACACTGTCATATAATCCAGATTATCAAATGAGATAATTCACATTATCGGCTTTAAAACGGATTATACGAGTCAACATTGCCATATAATCCATTTCAAAACAAATAATTTGGATTTTATGTGGCAGTGTAGAAGAGGCCTAAAACACCTGGAAGCTTGGTTTGCTATCCAACACTGTCTGGAGACCTACAACTGTCTCATTCTTGTTGTATCTTGCATAGTATCTCAGGTGGTTCCTAATAACGCTCACTTTCCTGGTAAAAAGAAAGATCACATTCCAAGAGGCATCAAGACTGGACAAATGCCAGGAAGCCATGGCGGACGAAAGGTCCACTATTCCAATAACGTCCATCTCAGATACACACACACACACAAAAATATACCCAAACAGATTGGTCCTATAATTCCCAATGCTCCTTTTCTGGAACTAGTTTGTAGTTCCAGGTCTCCTGAAGAGTTCTTTTAGTGCCCCGAACTGATGCTTGTTACTGCTATATGATTGGTGGTACATGAAGCAGCAGGTAGTATGTAGCAGAGGAGCATTCCAGTTCTTTTGCCAACGGGATCCAGCATCACTTCGCAACCAAATTAATCCTATCCGGACTGTCCCATGCCTGGCAATGAAATCCAGTCCCCGCTGCTGGCTAAATGGGGCCCCTGAGCTGGGCTGTATCCACTCCAGGTCAATGCCCATGGAAGGCACTCTGGGGTTGTATAGTGCAAAGGCAAACAAACAAAATCAAAGTGCGCACACAGAACCATTTTCCCTTCCCTACATAACTGTACAAGCAGGTAAGTTATAGAGAAAAATCCAACACCCCAATTCCCGGTGTTCAAATCTTTTCTTCATCTCAAATAACACAGCTAATTCAAGAAATAGATCTAAAACTAGATGACTAATCACTCGTTCATGTTTGGCCAAAGACATATGAACCTGTGAGTGAGGTGAAAAGTGAAACAAGCATGATGTATGCAGCTTTCACTAGTAGGAACCATTACCTGTGTGTATACTATCATAACCATAAAGAGAGAGATGGCCACACTTGCAATTCACATCCTACAAAATAGCCAATTTGGTATACAATAAATGCTTTTAATCCCTATATACTGTTAGATTGGAGCCTCCGGTGACGCAGTGGGTTAAAGCACTGAGCTGCTGAGCTTGTTGACCGAAAGATTGCAGGTTCGAATCCAGGGAGCGGCGTGAACTTCCGCTGTCAGCCCCAGCTTCTGCCAACCTAGCAGTTTGAAAACATGCAAATGTGAGTAGATCAATAGATACCGTTCCGACAGGAAGGTAACGGCACTCCATGCAGTCATGACCTTGAAGGTGTCTACAGAAAACGGCGGCTCTTCAGCTTAGAAATGGAGATGAGCACCACCCCCCAGAGTCGGACACAACTTGACTTAATGTCAGGGGGAAACCTTTACCTTTAACCTATACTGTTACATTACATTATGTTTACTTATAAGGGGTTTGTTACTAATGTCTGCCTAATTCATTCAAGATACAGTTGTCATTCCCATCTTCATAATCCTTGGTTAGCATAAGCGAGAAGGTATTTTCCCAAGTGATATTATCTTTTAGAAATCCCAAAGATGTGGTTTTTGCACATTGCAAACATGACAATCTATAGAAAGCAGGACCACATATCCACGGAAGCACACATTGATCAATGTGACATCTTTGATGTTGAAATACCCAAAAGCACAGAGTTTGCAGAATTAATTGTGCAATTTTCTGACCTGGGCCATCATTTGTTTGCCCAGTGACAGCGTATCCAATTTGGACCTGATATAGCAGTATTCAGACATCGGTACAGCCAAACCTTGTAGCACTGGACTAAACACTTAATTCAGGTTCTATTCTTTGGCCCATAAAATAACACTAAAGATCTGTGAAGCATTGTAACCAGTTCCTTTATTTTTTTTTATAACTAAAATGTTGGTCCTAGACCCAAAAACAGATAGGAGGTCCTCCCTCCATCACAATGACTACTGCCTGGCCTTGGGAGGAGGGAAGATGACGCAGTATCTGCTGGACTCAATCACTTTTCCTTTCCTTGTTTGCCCTATTTTATTTACATTGCAAACCTAAAAGCTGGGACCTGCAAATTAAGCAATTTATAAGTCACTCTGAGAGCCTAGGGTCATCTTCTTCCTTCTTTTCTACTTTCTCTCCTTTATTCAGTGTATATCCCACCTTTCTTTTGCTACAGGACTGCCCCCTGCCTTCAAGCATACACAGAGTATGTGTATGGCCAAAGTCCTGAACCAAGAAAGCCCCAGGCAGGACATTATTGCCACTGACTAGAGTTGTACTTTTAATGCTATGTGACACTGTTTTTAAGGATTTTTAAAGGGTTTACAGATAGTTTTCAACTGCATTGTAATATTTTAATATGCAGTATTTTAACTTATAAATTGTTTACTCCTTTTAAAAATAGTACATTAAAACTTTTATTTTGATATGAGTATAGCCTGCACGTGTGCTTTGGTATTTGAATCCCTTCTTGGCTATGGTAATTTTCAGTATTCATGTTTGGGCATATTGAGTATTTGTGCCAAGTTTGGTCCAGATCCATCATTGTTTGAGTCCACAGTGCTCTCTAGATGTAGGTGAACTACAACTCCAAAACTCAAGGTCAATGCCCACCAAACCCTTCCAGTATGTTCATGTTTTTAAAAAATGTTTTTATTTAAAGTATATATATAATAACATAATAACATGGAAAGTGGGGGAATAGTTCTAAGAAGACAGTAAAGTAGGAAATAAGAAAATATTTTTAAAAAAGAAAAAAGCAAAAAAAATTTACTTCTGTTCCACCTTCCTGATTTTTTTATTTCTTGATGTTAGAATTCTTATCTAAATTTGTTTCTAGAGTTATTTCTTATTTCTACTGTTATTAACATAGTCATGAAAGAGAGCCCAATTGGTTCTTTTTATTACATTTTTGGTGTTCTTTCTTTTTAAAAAAGTCAGTTCATCCATATCTTTTATCCATATCTTTTATCTTTCCATATCTTTTATCTTTCTCAACTTATCCAACCAATCTTCAAGAGTTGGAATTTGCTCCTGTTACCCAGACGCACTTGGATTCGGTAGTAGCACCCACACCGATGAGGCATAGATAGAAAGCAGCCTGGGAGAGGTTAAAAAGGGTTTTTCCTATGGAGAAGGTTCAGTTGATCAAAGTCAGGTGCCAGTCCATTGAGGATTAGACTAAGAAAGCCTTGAAGTGTTGTTTGAACCATTGAAGATTTGTTGTTTGTTCCATAATAAAGACTTTGTTGTATCATTAAAGACTCTAAAGACCATCACTTCAGAAAAATCCCTGATAACCTCTCTTTGAGGCCCCCTGGTTTCCCACTGCGCTTAAAGTATATGTCCTATAGAAAAGTACAGCTGTTACAGGCCCAGCGTGCAACAGAACAACACCTAAGGTTGTTAATGTGTCTTCCAGAAATTTTCACCCCAGTCTTGCATTCCTCAAGCCCCGCACATCGCACGATGTGTTCTGCATACAAGTTGAATAGGTTGGGGGAGAGTATACAACCCTGCCGTATGCCTTTCCCAATCTTGAACCAGTCTGGTGTTCCATGATCAGTTCTGACTGTCGCTACTTGGTCCTTGTACAGATTCCTCAGGAGAGAGACAAGGTGGCTTGGTATGCCCATCCCACCAAGAACTTGCCACAATTACATCCTGCATATCAGATATTTACATTACAATTCATAGGTAAAGGTAAAGGTAGTCCAGTCATGTCTGACTCTGGGGTGTGGTGCTCATCTCCATTTCTAAGCCGAAGAGCCGGCATTGTCCGTAGACACCTCCAAGGTCATGTGGCCGGCATGACTGCATGGAGCGCCGTTACCTTCCCGCCGGAGCGTACCTATTGATCTACTCACATTTGCATGTTTTCGAACTGCTAGGTTGGCAGAAGCTAGGGCTGACAGCGGAAGCTCACACCGCTCCCCGGAATCGAACCTGCGACCTTTCGATCAACAAGCTGAGCAGCTCAGTGCTTTAACCCACTGTGCCACCGGGGGCCAAATCACAGTTGTGATGTAACAACAAAAATAATGTTATGGTTGGGGGTCACCACAACATGAGGAACTGTATTAAAAGGTCGCAGCATTAGGAAGGTTGAGATTGAGAACCACTGGTGCAGCTACACTGTGGAATCAATGCTAGGGGGTGGTGCTGATGCTGCCTTGGCCTCCGCCTTGTTCCCTCCCTCCTTCCTTCCTCCCTTCTTTCTCTCCTCCTCCCCCCTTCCTGCCCTTCCTTCCTTGCCTCTTGCTTCCCATCTGCGTGGGAGGCGTGCATTGGCGAGCAGCCCTCCGCCCTTCCTCCTCCATTGGGCCGGCCAAGGGCTTGTCATCCAGAGACAGAGGAGGAGGAGAAAGGAAGAAAGAGGCGGGTCCCCCTCTGCCCTCCTTTCAGCCTCTGCAGACGGTGCTACGCCCAAAAAGGAACACAGCCTGGCACAGACACAGACAGAGACACACAGAGGGGGCCATTGGACTGAGCTGTCACTTTGGAGAGAGACCTTCAAGGATCTGTATCCCCAGGCAGAGAGGTGAGCCTCCAGGGTCGCCTGCATCTTCGTTGCTTGCTTTGTTGTTTCTGATCCCTGGAGTCAATCTGGGCTGTAGTGTAGAATGAATGCTATAGAATCCTGGGATTTGCACTTCAATCAGGCCCTATTTAGGCTTCTCTTTGGCAGGGATCTTGTCAAACTACACCTCCCCCCCCCCCCCCCCCCCGATTCCATAGCATTGCAACAAAGGGGCAACACACTGCCTTGATGGGTTGCTGTGAGGTTTTTTTCCCAGTGGCATTCTCTCCTGACATTTCGCCCGCATCTATGGTGAAACGTCAGGAGAGAATGCTACTGCAACGTGGCCATACAGCTCGAAAAACCCACAGCAACTCAATGAAAGCCTTCAACAACAAATCGCATTGATTCTACAATGTAGATCCCCCACCCCAGTGTCACTTTCCAGGGCTGACAGGCATTGCATTGGGTGGAGCTCAGCTCTGATCCACTGAACCACAGAGAGTCTTGTGCTGTAAAAAGGCTAATAATGTAATATAATATTTATAATATAATACAATATAATACTAGGGTTTAGAACACTGTATAAAATCCAGATTCTCTGCTTTGAACTGAATTATATGGCAGTGTATATTTTTTGTCGTGTCAGGAGTGACTTGAGAAACTGCAAGTCGCTTCTGGTGTGAGAGAATTGGCCATCTGCAAGGAGGTTGCCCAGGGGACGCCTGGATGTTTTGATGTTTTACAACGCTTATGGGAGGCTTCTCTCATGCCCCCGCATGGAGAGCTGGAGCTGATAGAGGGAGCTCATCCGCTTCTCCTCGGATTCAAACCTGCAACCTGTCAGTCTTCAGACCTGCCGGCACAGGGGTTTAACCCACTGCGCCACTGGGGGGCTCCTATAATAATACTAGTACTAATAATATAATATATAGTATATATATTTTATAATATATAGTATAATATAATATATAGTATGATAATAGTATAATAATTATATATGTATATTACATGTAATATTACTAATAATATTACAATATAATGGTATAGTACAATATAGTAATATGTAATACTGATATTGTACTATGCTAATAATATAATATATTGTATGTATATGTATCTTGTAAGCCACTCAGAGTCCCCTTCGGGGTGAGAAGGGCGGTATATAATAAATAATAAATAATATTTTTGTAATGCTGTAATAAATTAAGCTATTCGGCCAGAAACGGGAAAGAAAAGCACAGGATTGTATATTTTGGCAAATGGTCGATTTGCTTGCAGCCCAAAGAAGTGGATCAACGCAATCGGATAGGATAGGATAATAAATTGGTGTTTTTTAAAGGTGCCACAAGACCGCCACAGTTTATTATGTTCCTATGGAAATCAATGTTCAAGATTAGAAAGGCAAAAATGCTAGACAATTTGGGGCCCTTCCACGCAACCATATAACCTAGAATATCAAGGTAGATAATCCACAATATCTACTTTGAACTGGATTATCTGAGTCCCCACTGCCATATAATCCAGTTCAATGTGGATTTTATACAATTGTGTGGAAGAGGCCTGAGTTTCCTTCTGCTTTCTGTTCACATTGATTCCACATATCTGCTTTAAAATGGATTGTACGAGTCCGCACTGCCATATCATTTAGTTCAAAGCAGATTATCTAAATTTTATATGGCCACAGAAGATGTAAATGTGCTACAATTCTATATAATGTTAATGTTTTAAAATGTTTTATGGTGTTTTGGGGCATCGAATCATTGACATTGTAAACCGCCCTTAGTTGCTTTAGGGCTGAGAAGGGCAGTATACAAATATAGTAAATTATTATTATTATTATTATTATTATTATTATTATTTCAATAACGACAGATTAATCCAGAATTCCCTGGAGCAGAAAGTCCTTCTTTTGCTTCAGGATTTAGATAGAATCAGTTGTCGTCTTTTGAGGAAGCATGTGTACAGAATGGCCATTGGGTGGTTCATTTCAAGACCCGGCAAATGCAAAGACATCAACATATTTTAGAGTCTATGCAACGAAAAGAAAATCTAGGGAATGAATTATCAGTACTGCTCTTTAATTGGACTATGTACTCAGATCAGGTGATCTGTATCAGACTTGAGATGTACACAGCATGAGTACTAAAGATCCAATATCTCTAAAGTATTCATGAAATGCAGCACCTTAAGTGTGAGTTAGTGTGTCACTGGCCTTCTGCCGAAACTATGCATTTGAAGGAATCAGTCTTTGAAAGCAGCTGCCCATCAAGCGTGTTAGATCAAGATGTGATTCAGATCGAATCAAGGTGTTCAGCTGCCTTCTCAATGAAAAGGCCTTCTGTCCCCAATGCAATATTTGCTTTGTACACACAAATCTCTTCCCTTTTTTTAAAAAAAAAAAAAACATGAAATACAATATGTTACTTGTTCTTTCTGTGCAATAAGAATTGCCTTTTTATTTTCAGCTAGTCCCAAATTTAACAGAAATTCAGCACCATTCAAAGTAGTATCTGTGCTTTATTTCCCGAAGAAATTAGATTTGCTAATTCCCTTTTCTGGTGCAGTTTTTCACCCTCTTGAAATGTTGTTTTGCAATCCCTTCAGAGTGTCAGATGCTTTATTTGCAATAACCACAATGTAGGCAGGGCGATGTTTTAACGGGTTGCCGTGAGTTTTCCAGGCTGTATTGCCATGTTCCAGAAGCATTCCCTCCTGACATTTCGCCCACATTTATGGCAGGCCTCCTCAGTGGTTGTGATGTCTGTTAGAAACTAGTCAAGTAGGATTAATATACCTGTGGAATGCCCAGTTAACACCTCCCAACAAAGGATTCCCCTAGGCAGGAAGCAGCCAGGCTTTGAAGCTGCAAGGCTATTCAGTGCTAATCAAGGTGGCCAATTGCAACGTTCACATGTGTCTCAAGACAAGAGTGCTTTCTCCCACCCTGGACATTATTCCACAGATATATATAAACCTCACTTGCCTAGTTTCCAACAGACCTCACAACCTCTAAGTTTATTTATTTATCGTGTCAGGAGCAACCAGACAGTTGTATTACATTTTTAACAAAACAAACAAACAAACAAACAGATAAAACACAAAGTTTGCAAGCTTGGTAGTTGATTAAATGTCCTTTGACCAGTATCTGGCCACTTGGAGTGCCTGTGGTGTTGCTGCAAGAAGGTCCTCCATTGTGCATGTGGCAGGGCTCAGGTTGCATTGCAGCAGGTGGCTCAGGTTTGCTTCTCTCCACACTCGCATGTCGTGGATTCCACTTTGTAGCCCCATTTCTTAAGGTTGGCTCTGCATCTCGTGTGCCAGAGCACAGTCTGTTCAGCACCTTCCAAGTCGCCCAGTTTTCTGTGTGCCCAGGGGAGTCTCTCATTTGGTATCAGCCATTGATTGAGGTTCTGGGTTTGAGCCTGCCACTTTTGGACTCTCGCTTGCTGAGGTGTTCCAGCGAGTGTCTCTGTAGATCTTAGAAAACTATTCTTGATTTAAGTCTGTTGACGTGCTGGCTGATACCCAAACAGGGGATGAGCTGGAGATGTCTCTGCCTTGGTCCTTTCACTATTGGCTGCTACTTCCCGGCGGATGTCAGGTGGTGCAATACCAGCTAAGCAGTGTAATTTCCCCAGTGGTGTAGGGCGCAGACACCCCGTGATAATGCGGCATGTCTCATTAAGAGCCACATCCACTGTTTTAGTGGTGAGATGTGTTCCACACTGGGCATGCATACTCAGCAGCAGAGTAGCACAGCGCAAGGGCAGATGTCTTCACTGTGTCTGGTTGTGATCCCCAGGTTGTGCCAGTCAGCTTTCGTATGATATTGTTTCTAGCGCCCACTTTTTGCTTGATATTCAGGCAGTGCTTCTTGTAGGTCAGAGAATGGTCCAGAGTGACTCCCAGGTATTTGGGTGCGCTGCAATGCTCCAGTGGGATTCCTTCCTAGGTGAGCCTCAGAGCTCGGGATGCTTGTCTGAGGATGCCTGCCATAGATATGGTGAACGTCAGGAGAGAATGCTCCTGGAATATAGCCATACAGCCTGGAAAACTCACAACAACCCAGTGATTCCAGCCACGAAAGCCTTTGACAACAATGTTTTAATATTTCATATGACTGAGTAAATTATGAGCAGTTAATTCATCCTCTGCCTTCATTCTTTGCAATGCTTCATTCTGGATTTTTTTTACAGTTGTTTGGAATTTGTCTCTTTTTACAAGGAGTAAGCAAATTGAATTCTAAACAGAAATCAAATTAAAACCGCCACGTGACATGCTGTAGGACTTAAAACAAGAGCAGACTTTTGAACTTTTGAAATGAACAATATTTTTCATCTGTGTGCTTATATTAAGACATTTGTGACACAGAATAAATAATTTGTTTGATATACATTTGCGTAACACACATTTGCGTTTCACGGTCAGGATGGAATCTTCTTTGGAGCTCCATTCAGGTTTCTCACAAACTGGGGAAAAGGTGAAGAGATATCATTGACCATCTTTTCCCCCTTTGCTTCATTTTCAAAGCTAACCTGTTGCTCTAGGCAAGGAATTTTTGAGAAGTAAAATATGACTTAAAAGTTTAGCAGCAGGCTAGTTCTTTTCTTAAACTGTCATTTATATATATAGCAAAAAATTCTGTCTCGTCTGCTATACATCTGAAATCTTTTAGTAAGAAATGTTTTATTTTTCTCACTTTCCCTGAAATGGCTTCTTTGGGAATAGATTCCTTATTTCAGTGTTCTGTTTCATGTCTCTTCTTGTGCCAGCCAGCCCACAATTTAAAAATTGTTGTCTATTCCTCGTTTCAACAAGTACCTTTGTCAGTGGGGAGGAATCTTTTAATGAGAGAGAAGACAGTGTTTTGGCAACGGTTCTCTAATTATGGAAGGGGTTGTCTGGACGGTACTTGTAGTGCCACTTTTAGCAATGTCCAATCTCGATAAAATAGTGAAGAGTAGAGACATCACACTGGAAATGAAGATCCGCATAGTCAAAACAATGGTATTCCCCAT